GAAGGGCTTCGGTCCTGCGGGATCAAGGCTTTGGTCCGTTACCCTGTTTTGTGAGGTTTGCTCTGTTCTCCAGGTGTATGCAGTCTGGTGCAGCCTTCTTTCCTGTTGCTCTTTTAGGATTAGTTGTAATAACTGTATTTTTGTACTATATGTGGTTTTGGGAGGAGTTCTCTGTCTCACCTCTCAGGCCACCATCTTGAATCTTATCCCACCCCTATGTTTATCGCAGCACTATTTACAACAGCCAAGATATGGAAGCAACCTAAGTGTCCACCAGTAGATGAATGGACAAAGAAGATGTGGTACATATACACAAATCAATACTATTTAGCCATTAGAAAGAAACAAATCCTACCTTGCAACAACATAACAACATAGATGGAACTAGAGGGTATTATGCTCATTGAAATACGTCAGGTGGAGAAAGACAAATACCAAATGATTTCCCTCATTTGTGTAGTATAACAATGAACCAAAACTGAAGGAACAAAATAGCAGCAGACACACAGATTCTAAGAAGGGACTAGTGGTTACCAAAGGGGAGGGGTGTCGGGGAAGGGGTGTGGGAGGGAGGGAGAAGGGGATTGAGGGGTATTATGATTAGTACACATGGTGTTGGGGTAATCATGGGGAAGACAGTGTAGCACAGAGAACACAAGTAGTGACTCTGTGGCTGTAATGGGGTATGGGGGGGGACTCGATAATATGGGTGAATGTAGTAACCACAATGTTTTTCATGTGAAACCTTCATAAGAGTATATATCAATGATACCTTAAAAAGAAAAAAAAAAAAGAAAGAAGTGTGTGTGTGTGTACATATATCCTTTATCAATCACCATTTACTTCTCTTCTTATATTCCAACAAATTCTCCAGTTTCTGGTCCCTTACTATCACTCAAACCATCAAAATATCTTTCCCACACACCCACCTAGATTTGGGCCACCAACATTCTCATGTGGATAATTATAATAGCTGTTTAACTGATTTATGTGCTTCTAATATTCCCTCCCATCAATTCATTTTTTATACTGTAGCCGGAGTAATACTTTTAAAATGCAAATCTGAGCAAATGTCCCTTCTCTAGTTAATGTCTTTTAATAGCACCCAGTTTCTGGTCAGACAATGGGGCAGAAAAGATCCTTTATGATCCTTTTTATGATGTTAAGATGGTCTTTCATTTGGCAGTCTCAAAGAGCCTCAACATGCTCTCCCACTCCCCACCACCAAATATTTACATTATTTTCCCTCATCTAAAGGATTCTGAAGATGTTATTCCATCTACCTTACACATGCCAAATTCTCAAGTGAAGTTCTTAAGTTCTGACCTCACTTAGATCCATTAACCCTGAGAGAACTAACTCTTCCCTTATCCAGTATGGAGTTATATAGCTCTTTAATGTACTCTCATGTAACTATTTATTCCACCATAACTTATCATGCGATTTTGCAACTATAACATCTGTCTCCACAGCCTACTTGGACTGTCTTGCTCATTGTTACATCCATACAATCCAGCCGATTGCCAGTTATGTAAAGCCCTCATTAAATAAGGAAAAAAAGGGGCAAAATTGGTCTAGCACTCGTATACTAGAAGTGGCCCAAAGGTAAATGTTTAAAGACTTAATGGTTAGTTTTCTATCAAACACAAGACAAAATATAAGTTTCAAAGAAGTAACCTTTTCTCCATAGACTGGAAATTAGAAAATGTGAGTCCTAGCCCTGGTTCTGATAGTAGCTAAATGATCTTGGCCAAGAATAAGAAAGATGATAATGATGCAGCCAATATCAACTAAACACCTAGAATGTGCCAAGTTCTATTCTAAGTACTATGCAAATCTGGTCTCACATAATACTCATAACAATCCTGAGATAGGAATTACTTGTATTAATATTTTTTAGATGAGAAAAATGGGGCACAGAAAAGTTAAGGGACACTGCAGGGTAACACAGTTAAGACAAAGCTGGCAATCACTTCAGATGGTTGGACTCCAGAGGACATGCTTGTTAACTACTCTGTTACTGTTAACTTGCTTTTCCCTTATATTCTTAATTTGAAAGAAAAAAAAAAAGACACACACACACACACACACACACGAGGTAGAATTAAATTATTCCTAGGGAAACATTCCGCTATTATTTTTGTTAAAAACACTTATTTCAAATTTCAGATGGCATCTCAACAAATATGATTTGAAAAACAAATGGGATCACCATTTCTACACTTTACATGATTTAACTTACCAATCACATACCCTTTCAGTTTTTGTGGGTTTTTTTTAATAGCATTTCATGATACTGAACTTCCTATGATCCTTTAAATGTCCTAAATAGTCTTGAGTGATCTAAACCAAATATTTCCAATTGGAGAATATGGGATGTCTTCCCACTTATTTAGGTTATTTTTAAATTTCTTTCAGCAATGTCTTGTAGTTTTTAGTACGTAAGTCTTTTACCTCTTTGGTTAAATTTATTCCTAGGTATTTTATTCTTTAAAACGTTATAAAAAATTGAACTGCTTTTGTAATTTCTTCTTTTTGCAGGTGTATAGAAACACAACTGATTTTTCTGTGTTAATCTTTTAACCTGCAACTTTGCTGTATTCTTTTATTAGCTCTGCAGTTGGGTACTTTTGACAAGACATTATGAGAAAGAGGCAAATGCCAACAGTGAATTCACAAAAAGATAATTCACATGTACAAATTACAGGTAACAGAAAAAGTTTAGAAATATGGGGACTTGCAGGGACAACCACCTTCTCAACTTCACCTTATAAAGAAACAACTGACAAAGCCTTTGAGCAACAAAGACCGAGGCTGCAATTCAGCCTGGCAGTAAGCAATAAACCAAGTCTACATCAGCTACACTCACTGATAAAGACTCAGTTCATCAAAGTGTCTCCAAGCAAAGATCCAATAAGGCTGTGACTATCCTGTATACACTTTCTCTAAGACAAAATGGTCTGGAGAAAAGAGACAAGGGATTTCTTCAACCCAGGTTTGATAAATTATCTTTAATCAGAAAGAAAGAAACACAGACAATCATGAGGGTTAAAAGCATATAAACTTATTAAAATCTAGGAAACAGGACTCTAAAATAATTGTGGGTTTGCCTTTGACAAATGGAGCTGATCATAATCAAACAGGTTAGAAGCCAGAAGAGCCATTACCCTGAACTGTGACTATCTGTTACCTAAAATGACCCATGGCTCCCATTTTCTATATGGAAAGGAAGCAGGCTGAGAAATGGTATAATCTCCATAACCTGCATTAGACGTAGCCAGCAAAGACACTAAAAAACTTAAAACCTACAAGGATCATAAAGAACAATGGACTAGAAACTTGTTGCTAAGCCTCAAAATGAGGATCAAGGTAAGTCAAAGAACAATCCCACCCCCATGGCACAGATTTTTATTTAAACTGTCCACTGAGATTTTAGAATTGCTCATACTAATTGAGCTGTGTCTCTCTCATTCTTCATCTTTTCCTCTGAGAGTGTTTACAGTAAATACCCTACCTTTAGCTTACTACTGCATACATTAGGGGTAAACAACATAGATTTTAGTTTCTAGTTTTTTTAGGTGAAAAGGACCCTGTATCTGGACCTGATAAAGTAGAGACTATGGCACATCATTCCCCACCCATCACTCAAAGATCTTGGACTATTCATAGCTCAACAGGACTTTCAGTTTTTCTCCCATGAGACAGGAAGAGCAAATTTGCCTGTGAGACAGAGACTGAGTGTTTGACGACCAAGGTGTTGACTATGGAATATCAGTGCTGTTTATCAAATATTTCCTGTTCTCTCCCTTCCAGACACATAGTAGATCTCACTACCTGGCCCCATTATGCCTGGGTAGGGCAATGTGGATATAAATGGGAAATGCAAGTTTCATTTCCAGTCCAGAATACTGAATTACTGGTAGGAAATCTCATCAGGCTTCTGATTAAGTGATGCTAACAGGCAACACTCGATACAGGCACTACACTCTCAGGCTAGTTCCTAGTGTGAGGACAACATGAGACTCAGCCCCAAAACCATCCTCAATGGACATACAGCATATGGGTAAGATGTAAATCTTTGCCACTGAAGCTAGAGAGTTCAGGGCATAAACTGGTCTGTTCTGCTAACACATGCCTTATGTTGTTTCAGTTTTATGACTTTAATTCTCTTGAGTTTTTCTCTCCATTTACAAAGTCATGTATTTCGTACCTCAGATAACCTGGTATTTCACCAACCAGAAGAGTGTAAGTGTTATACCGGATTTATAAAATTCCCTGAATATTTCCTCTTCTAAACCACTTATTAAAATGGCACTGAAAAATCTTGGGGGTGGGTGGCATTAAATCTCTGTTTGAATTCTACAACTAATTTTGATTCCTAATTCTTAGTGTATTTTCTTCCCATGATATAAATAAGGTCCTTTAAATAAAGTAGGTTTTATTTTGACCTACCAAGTTTTATGTCAACTTAAAAGCATTACTGGGAATTTCTTGCATATATTATTTATACTATGATACATCCATGAATGGTCTTCAATTGATTGTTAAATGTAAATCAGCTAATCATATTTTTAATGCACTCTACATTAAATTTTTTAAAATCAACAGAAAAGTTCAAATAGAAACCAATGCCGATATGCAACAAAAGGTAATTAAAACATAATTAAACTTCACAGTATTATTTATAAATCTTATACCACTAAAAATCACTTCACATGCCATAAAATGTTTATTGTCACCTCTATGGTTCTGTTATTTAATGAATAATATTATAACCCAGAAATTAACATAAGAATTATCATTAACTTGGAGACCCACATATTTTTAGTCTATCATAAAATTCCCAAACTTTAACACTGAGTTTACATAAGCATATTTTTTCCTCTGAAATACACCAGGGAAAGTAAATGGCATGACACTGAGTACACAGCTGTAGAGCTCCCAGGGGAGGAGAGGCAGAAGAAAGGTGTAAACATATAATAGGTCCGCAATATTATTACCTGAGCATTTAGCAACTCCTCACACTTGTGTGATTGTTTCTCAATTGCAGAAATGTACTGTTTTTCAACAGCTTCTACTTGTTGCTTAACTGAAGACTGCAGGAGTGCCTAAAAAAAGCAAAAAAGTCGTTTGGATCAAAGACAAAACTTGAGTCTACTGTTGGCATGAAAATGTTTTTGACAGTTGTACATAGCTGAGATCTGATCTTCTCGAGCTGCAACACAAAATACACATCTGTGGATATGGAAGCACGTTCATATGTAACACTGCTTTAAGCTTTCGGTTTTAAGTTTTCCTATTGCCAAGACTACAGTTTTTTGGCTCAGATGTTCCTTTCACACACCTTCTCCTTAAAAAAGGCCAAGACATAGAAGATGATAAAGAGGGTGAGTAGTTCTGTTAAATATAAATTCAGTTTAGTGAAGACCACACAGGATGAGGAGTGTATGAAAGCTGAAAAAGAAGAAGAAGAAAAAAAAAAACAGACATATTTCCCTGGCTGACAAAACTCCACATCCTCTCGGCACACTGTAATATCCCAGGGGCCAAGCAAGATCTTCAAGACCACAAGTCAAGTAAAAGCAGATGGAAACTCTGAGTAATTTCAAACATAAAAGAACTACCCCCCAGGAAGTTCACGCCCCTAATGTGGAAAGGTAGAAGTCAGAATGTGGAAGACAGAATCTCAAGGCAGTATTCATAAAGAGTAGTAACTTAGGAGACTGGACAAATTTAAGTGGGTAGTGTAAATGCTGGAACCTCAGTCAGTTAAAAACAAAGATGTTAACACTGTTCTAAAGGAAGCCAAATCAGTATTTGAAGATGTTCCACCCCTCACTTCCTTAATGGAGATGCTTAGAGTATTATCATTTTTCCTCTCTTTTTTTTTTAAAGCATTATGTGTTACACTTAACATGGTCCCAATATTATCTTACATGCTATTTGTAAGTCCTAAATCATTCTAAAGTATGTACTCAACTATATATATAAGAACTCTTTAGCAAATATTCTATTTTTGAAGGTCTATAATAAATTACTCATAATCAAAATAGTAAGTTGAAACAGACACATGTCTTATAGAAAACAGACCTTTGGCACATTCATCAAGAAAAGAAAAATTAGCCAAATCTCTTAAATAATCTCTATTTTGAAAATAGATTTACTTGGTTGGAAACAACATGCATTAAAAGCTAAATAAATATGCATGTATTTAAAAAAACTGAGACAAAAATATTTTTACAACCTCTGGGTAAGTCCCAGATTTTCAGATAATTAACTTTCTTTTGCAAATGTTAGACTGATGATGCTACTATTCCTATAGTTCTACAGCCATCGCTCTGAAGCTGTAGAAATACTAATAAAATTAGCAAAGGAAAATAAAGGTCTAGAGTTTAACTAACCAAAATATAAAGAACTGCTTAATAAAACTGCTTAAGCCCTCCATGTGTAGATTATTGTGAAGATTCCACTGTGATTATTTATATAAGGCACCAAAATTTAACCTCTTAAAATGTGACTAGACAATGAAAAGCTCTAATTTACCTCTGGTAAAATATAATGGTTGTTGGACTTCAAAAATTTAAAGAACAGCAGAGTTAGAGACATTTCTCCTGGGCACATTTACCACATCTTTTGTAGACAGAAAAATGCCATTCTTTTGGGGGACTTGGGATATGACAGAATTGTTTTGCTTTAGTGGAAAGAACAGTCTTCACTTCCTTATTGGCCACATTTCCAAACAATGCCACTGTTTATATGTCCAATTAAGAGTTTTAGTAGATTATATACCTGTTCCCCCTTTGGGACAGGGACAGGGATAGGAAAGTTAATGAAATAAAATCATGTTCTCTCACCATACTTGACACAATGGAACAGTATTTTTTTTCCTTTAGGTATTGATTTGTACACCATATTTCAACCTTCAAAGAGACAAACACTATCGGATCTGTAGGATATTGAGTCAGTACTATAGGATAATTAGCTAAGAGCCAAAGCTGTGGTTCTGGAATATGGAGAAAAGCTATGCAAAAGTAACCAGCCTTTCATACAGTTCAAACCTCTCCTTTTAGCCCCATTCAATTATTTAAAGCCACACATCTATAAAAGGGATATGAAGGCAGGTACAGGGAACATAAAGATTTTTTTAAAAGGCTGTCCTCGTTAAGTTTAGTCTATTGTTGAAGAGAAATTCTCTAGATAAAAACACACCACAGCCGTATATACACAAGGTGTGTACCAAAGGAAAAGAAATGAGCAAAGCTTTCCTGTCAGGCTCACTGCTATACACAGAGAACAGTAAATAGATACGACTAGCTGGAGTTAAAAGTGGGAGCAAATGGTAAGGCAAGAAGGTAGAAAAGTAGGCAGATATCAGATACTAAGGACCTTGTGTGCTACAATAGGGTAATTCAACAGTCTGGCCTAAACCATTTGGCTGTGGGATTATTAGTGTGACAGTCCAAACATCGGAGGTCATTTCCAAAAACTACCCTTTAAACTAGAACACTAAGCATTATGGACATACTTAGAAAATACACATTGGTCTTATCCACCTGCTTTTATGGCTTGATATTAAATAACTGGATATTTATTTTCCAGTGTAATATACCAAAAAAATTGCTGTTAAATTTTTCTCATATTGTCCAAGTATAAAAATCAACATTAATCTTAACATTTCCCTCCAGTTTATTTTTTTTTCCTCTGTAATTATCTCTAGAGATACCAAAGATAAAAGAAAGCCTTCCCTTGGGCTTATATGTACTCTAAAATGGTATCTGGAAGGATCATTTCCTTCATAAGCTATTTTAAACTATTCTCAACATATATAAAATACTTGAGAATCTCACAGAATGTAGAGGCAGAAAAACAAAGATGTATACAAACATTCTACCATGAAAATAATGCTACCAAAAGCAGGGAATACTTTGCTAAATTTCAACACTTTAAGGTTTTAGCTTCATTTCTATCAGAGATTTTCTGTATCATCGCAGAAGACTTAATTCACTGAACTTGAGGTAAATTATTTACCACACTTCTTTAAGAATGATCTTATAAGTGTGAACAAGATTATGGGTTCCATTAATATCAGAACTATATGTTACCCACCTTTATGTGTCATGCATAGCTTTTTACAGTTTCTTATACATAGTAGGGGTATCCAATAGTTATTTGATGAACGATGATCCTTTTATTAAGATTAATATTTTAAAAAATCATAGTATGAACGGTACCACTATTTACTGGAAAATTCACTATGCTTCAAATTCTAACTACCAAGTTCAGTTACCAAATTGTTGCTTGAGTATATTTAATTTCTCTCAGGAATCTCAATTTTTTAAATATTACTTTAGACTAGCAATGTACATTCTTTCTACACCATAGGATAAATTTTAACTAAATAAAGTATGAGAAGGACTACAAACTCCTTGGAAGGAAAAGTATGCTATAAATATTAGACTGATAAAAAATGAAGGTATTAAGTTAAAAACCATCCCACCCCAACCAATACCCACAAGCAGTAGATTTTTTTTTTTAATGGAACTGATAGATGCTGGAATTTAACTGGAAAAGTATTGCCAAAGTGGACTACTGCAAGCCAAACTACAGACAAGTGTCCCATCAAATCCAGAGGGCCTTTTGAAATCAAGCACAATTTCACCTTTCTTCTATTTCAAATCTTTTCTTCTTTTTAACTGAAAATAAGTGAAACTAAAAGATACCCTCAGAATGAGTAAGTTACTCTTTCATTTATTTATTTTATTTTAATATTATTAATATACTGTGGTTACTAGATTCCCCCCATTATCAAGTCCCCACCAGATACCCCATTATAGTCACTGTGCATCAGTGTAGTAAGATGCTATAGAATCACTACTTGTCTTCTCTGTGCTATACTGCCTTCCCCATGCCCCCCTCACCCCCTACATTATGTCTGCTAATCGTAATGCCCCTTATTCCCCCTTCTCCCTCCCTTCTCACCTACTCACCTCAGTCCCTTTCCCTTTGGTAACTGTTAGTCCATTCTTGGGTTCTATGTTTCTGCTGCTGTTTTGTTCCTTTAGTTTTTTCTTTGTTCTTATACTGCACAGATGAGTGAAATCATTTGATACTTGTCTTTCTCTGCCTGACTTACTTCACTGAGCATAATACCCTCTAGCTCCATCCATGTTGCTGCAAATGGTAGGATTTGTTTTCTTCTTATGGCTGAATAATATTCCATTGTGTGTATGTACCACATCTTCTTTATTCATTCATTTACTGATGGACACTTAGGTTGCTTCGATTTCTTGGCTAGACTAAGTTACTCTTGAAGAGACACTTGTAATGGTTTTTTCTGGTCTATGTGCTCTTTTTGAACAAAGTATTGCTTCAAATTTTGAAAGGCTATTGGCTGTTAGTATGTCTTATAATATACCCTCAAAATTCCACACATATTATAAGCAAATATGTTATTCAAAAGAAGAGCCTTCTTGACTGAGATACATTGATTAATCTCAGTAATTTCACTGAATCGTTCACCTTTTCCCATGAACTCTATATACCTGTTTTTCAGATAAAGAAAGACACTGAACTCAAGAAATGCACCCAAAATCACATGAAAAGACTCAATGGAAGAGAGCACTGAATTCAGATCCACCCATTTGGTCCCAATTTGTCTTAGCTGTTCTAACTGAGTAAAGCAGATTTCTCTTTATGAACTAAGAATTTAAGTCCTATTTTTATAGTCATTAAATTATTGACTCATTCTTCACTTATTCAACTAATATTTACTGAATGCACACTTTATTCCAGACACTGTTCTACGTACTTGAGCTACAGAGTGAACAAAACAGACTGGAGCCTGACTCTGCTGAACTTACGTTATTGGCAAGGGGCTGGGGAGGGTGGGGAAGAGAAGGCAGACAATAAACCATTTCTCGTGGTGTTACATCCTATGAAGAAAATAAAAAAAAATAATAAGGCTAAAAAGTAATACAGAGGAGAAAATGTCTAGAGATTATAGTCAAGAAAGAGCTCTCTGAAGAAGCATAAACAGAGTTGAGATGCCACAAGTGAGGGAGAAAAAGCCTTGAGCCACATAAATGTCTGGGGCAGGGGGAGGTGGGGG